TAGGAAATTCCGTTCGGGGGTGTCTTTTCAGTTGTTCCCCGGTTTTCCGTGATCCGCATATTTTGTCCCTCCGCCACTGTCTCGTCCGTTCTGTTACGACCTTACTCTAACGAGACTCCTCCGTGGCAGGAGGGACCGTGCATCGTGCAACAAAGAGGATCTACTAAATCGGTGACTCCATGGAGCTGGAATTGCGTGACAAATCGTAAAAAACTTTAAGACGCCGTCGCACGGTATTCCTCTTTTTTATTTTTATTTTGCTACGCCTTGTCGCGAGTTTGCTGCAACGTCTCGATCTTATTCTTTCGCTTCTGTGTGATAAATAAATAAATTTAACAGAGAATTGAGAAACGAATCGCGAGTCTTTGTAACACTCTTCCGTTATTCACTTTGTCGATATTTTTTACCCGGATGAAAATTTTCTCCACGTTTGGGAGACGCGTTTCCGTCGATATAGAATTTTTTCCACCTCGGCTCGAGACTAGAATATTTTCGACCGCGTCGCACCCCTTATCGAAAGATCATAGATTCTAGGAAAATATTCGAGCTACGAATGCCTCCTACGCGTCGAGAAATTTAATGAGCGAAAACGGAATCCTCGTACCGGGACGCGGAATAATAAAATGCAGAATTGTGTAAAAAAATGAATGGGGGATTAACGGGGAATCGTTGGATGTTGGCCCGCAAAGAGTACTTCTTAGCAACGTTAGGGGTTAGCATAGAGGAGCACGGCATAGTTGCAACGAGCATCTACGGCTACAGAAACGAGAATGTCATGGTCGTACCTTAACCCTCGTCGTCCTTCGACGTTCCTCCCCTTCGTCGTCGAGCATAGTTCCACGGACAGCCTTGGATTTTTTTAATTACGCTCGAATCACCGTTAAGCAATGTTAGGTGACTCTCGAATTAAGGTACGGCCACTTAAAAGCAAACCCGTAAAGCGACGCCCACGCAGCAGGTACCTGCTATATGCACTAACGTGCATCCAGGGGCGGATCGAGCGTCGCGGTATTTATCTGTTCCGTTCTCGTCCAACGTTTTCCGATCTCCCCGCGGCTACTACGAACTCGATGATTTTTCAAAACCCTTCGTGAAGTTACCGTTGGAAATCCCCGCTGCGTTTGCTATTAAATTTTTCAAACGAAATCGGCCCGCTGGTCCGCTGAATTTCGATCGCATCGAGCATCAATTATTCCCGTACAAATTAAATAACTGTCGCGTTACACGGGTATTTTACAATGCGTTCGATTCGCGTGTCGATCGCCCGAAGCATTCACCATTGTTTGATTTCGAGCATCGTGCCAACGCTGTTGCGTAAATATATCGCCACGAAGGTGTCGCGTAAAATTTTAATTTGTTCCGTTCTAAATTTGACTTGCGATATTACCGAAGTTATTTCTTGTTTCTTATATCTATTTAAGAATTACTGTTATTTCCGTTAGTGGTAATGGATGAGCGAATTAACGAGCGAAACGTAAACGGAAAGTGGTCTGCGTACGAATGCGAAACAGCCGTTCGTTACACGGAAATAAAATTTGTCCAGGTACGTGTGTCTGTCCGCGGCGTTAGGGGTTACGGCCCTGAGTACGCTACACACAGGGTGGCCAGACAGAAAAATCGCGAAGGCATTCCACCGTTGAGTGCTACGAATAAGGACCACATAAAGACGGGTCGTAAAACTATGATTTACGGCTTGTCATTGATGCGTTTGCTGTCCGTCCATCCGTACGATCGTTCCTCCAGTTCATCATCGTCTCCCTCCGTTCCCTCTTATTATCTTTCTTGTGGCTGTTCCTTTTGTTCCTCTTCGTCTTACGCAAAGATAGCGCGTTCGAGGGCCGATAATCGATTAGCCGGATAGAAGAAGCGGTAGCGTATCGGTATCGTTGGAATTGGCTCACTGTCTCCGCTAAAATATCGCGGCCAATGCTCGTTCTCGATCTCGATCTCGAGGCGTCGATCTGGATCACCAGAGACGGGTAAAAATTGACGTTTCGTCTTTTTTCTTTAGAGTGAAATAGAAAGGATTATCCAAAGGCTATTTTCACGCTCTATTTATAATTTTAAAAGGTCAGCCGTGTGGAAAATGAATTTTGACGAATTCGAGAGCCAGGTTGCAGCCTCCCCCTTGGTCCGTGCCTGTGCAAAGGTGGCGAACGAGACACCCAGAGTCTCGTGTCCCGTGTGCATTAACGTTGTTTTTCATTTTCTTGCGAGTCTCCGTCGGTCGTCGATGATGTCGAGCGACGATAATCGTGATCAGGGCGAGCGTAAACGGTGGCAACGAAATTATTAACGCGAGCGATCGCGTGACGCTCGCAAGAAACGAGACGCCTCGGTCGTCTCGCATTCTTTTTCGTATTTTCGTCGGTAGCGACCGTTCAGCTTCTTTCTTCGTACCAACGGGTGGTTAAAGGCGAACGAGGGGGGTGAGGGTGGGGGGGAACTATTAGCGGAAAAAAAAGCACGATTTTCGTCGGTCGAACGTTAACGCCTAAGGATGAGTGTTTTTCTGTTCGGGCGCGAAGGTAGCGACCTTGCGAGCGGTTCGAGCCCGTCCTGGACGGGGCTTCTTCGAGGTCTATTGTCCTCGAAGCGTAAGACGCGTATCTATACACGGTGCGGTCAGTGGGTTATTTAAAGTTTTAACGCAGCCAAGCCTGCCGGCAAGATGGTTACATTTAATGGCGTCTGCGGTTTACCATCAAACTTCTCCCCGTGCCACCTGACATCTCGCGCTCTCGCTGCCTCGGAATACCGAGGCGTATATAAGCAGGATACGCCGAAGAATCGCGAGCAGAACCTTCAACTTCAACTGCAACGGGTAGGGTTAACGCGTTCGCTGCGGTACGCAACCTGTACGAGCCACGACTATGAAATAACCGGATTTATTTGCTTACAAAGTCCACGCTGCGCGAAAGATCCATTCTTCTCTTCGAAAAATTTTACTTGCGAAGCTTTTGCAGTCGTTGGGAAACTTTCGAACGAATTTTATCGCGAAAGAAATGAACGGTAGTCGCATCACGGTGGGTCGGAGCGGTGTATTTTTGAGCGCAAGAAATCGAGAGGCGACGTTTTGAAATGCAGGGAAGCAGAGGCGAGAACTGCATAGAGAAATCGTTCCCCGTCGTAAGTTTCGCACTTTATATTCCTTTCGCGGAAAGCAGCTGTCGCGCCTACGGTCGGCTCCTCGAGTAGCTATTGTGAAGCACCCTGCGGATGTTTAAGTTTGACAGAGGGGTAATTAGGAAAGTCGGTTTCGCGGCGTCTGCTCGCGGTGCATTGGATAGCTAATAGCCGGTTTACGGTTCGCAACGATATTGTTTCCTCGCAACAGCTTCCGACTGCCTTAGCCCTGGCATTCGCCACAAAGCAAAACTCGCTGTCTAGACAATGCGCGGAGAAACGCGAGAGGGAGCTTCGGAACTACGCGAGTTTCCAAGTCGTGCGACTCCTCCGTGCACTCTCATTAAGACGACAACGAGCGTCGAAGAAGAGAACGGCGCTTTTTCTCATCGCAGGAAGCATCTGCATCGGAACAACTTTGCGTCCGTAACGTCCTCTCGCGAAGAATCACCGTCACAACCCTATACAGTACAGTAAAGATTAGGTCGAACAACGTGTAGACGGAAGATAAATTATTCCACATTCGCATGAAAAACGCGAGGGAAAAGAGAAACACGTTTTGAACATCGACGATGAGTTTCGAAACGCACGGTCATTAATTCTGCATTGTAAATAATGGTGTAAACGATGTAATAGCTTCTTATTACAATGAGGAAATATGACCTGCTGTGACGAAATGTTAAAAACGAGTCCTGTACCGGTTTCTCTTATCATTTCGGAACTTTCTCGTCGATTTCTCGGATTATGAGTCGTCGAGAGACAATGGAACGGTGATTTATTTTCCCGGTCGCGCGGCGTTACGTGATTTCGCGGTCGAAAAATAAAAAAAAAGTTGGCAAATCGAAGGGGCCGCCGCGTCGAATTGTTCGTTATCCGCGAGGATCGATCGCGCACGCACCGGTGACCGTTAATCTCGACGCGATCGAGCGACGGGACAGACGCAAAGAAACGACTCGAAAGAGCCACGACGTTTATATCTGCCTCGAAAGTTTCGAGTGAAAGCGACTGCGCCGAGCGGCGCGGCGCTCGTTAGGGCCATAAGTTATCGCTGACCGATAGTTAACCCCCGGAGGTTGGAGGTCGAATTGTAAAACGACGAGGCGCGTTATCGCGTCAGCGCGAGAATCTCGCGCAGGTACGCGCGAAAACGTGCGGGGTACGCGAACATGCCACGTTCGCGTAATGGATTCGATGCGTGGATTCTAAACACCACGGCGAATCCACCGCCTCTTCGATCATGCGACCAAACCATGCGCCGTCCATCCGTGCGAACTCCCTTCGGCAAACCCAGACTTCCCGCGGAATTATTTCCTCGTCGAACAAATTTTTGCAAATTGATATTTTAAATCCCTGGTCTTGCTGGAAAATCTCATTATTTACGGGGCGAGGTAAATGGCTCTGGGGCATATTTTCAACGCATCGAAGCGTCCAAGAGAAACGACTTAAGGACTTTCAGGTTCGCGGGCAGTTAAAGACCGAAGTTTAATTGAAAGTTTAGACGTATTTCAGCCCGCGTAATCACCCTGTCCGCCCTTATATCATAATTCTTCCTTACCCGGTACATCTTTAACCCGGGTATAACTCCGGGGGCAGCTCGCGCAAAAGAAATAATACATCGAGGAACGTCGTGCAGTCCGCGAGGTATAAAAGGCTTTTACGAGCCTTAAAAATCACCCTGGCGCGGCGTCTCGGCGCCGTTTCTTTATTTCCATTGCGGTAATCTCGTCCTTCCTTTACCGTTACTTACACGGAGTTGTAAACACCGGATCGTCCACGGCCGTGTTTAATTTCTTCATTCTCGCGATCCTACGGAGGCGATTAACCCGTATCGAAGGGGGAATGAGATAAAAAATGATCGTTATTTCTCGTTTCAGATGTGAGCCGGTGAAGGTGGAATCCTCGAGCAGCGCGAGGTCCTCGCAATGGAGGCGGGACCGAAGCAACAGCAGCAGCAGCAGCAGCAGCAACAGCAGCAGCAACAACAACAACAGCAGCAGCAGCAACCGCAGTCGCATCAGCAACAACAGCAGCAGCAAAATTCGTCGCCTGCTGGTACGGGACAGACACCGAGCCAGGCCGGGAGTCCGCAGGGCGGCCAGACTCAAGGCCAACCTCAAGGTCAACAGAATCAAGATGCGGCTGCAGTCGTGGCTGGAACTGCGGAGGCCGGACCGGTCGAGGAGGGAGTCCTTCTCGCCAGGGTGCACGTCCCGGAGCTCTACGTCAGCAAGTGTCTTCAGTTCCCGAAGGATCAGCTCGTGTGGGACGTGAAGCAGCAATGCCTAGCATCGTTGCCCAAGGTAAGCTCGTTCTACCTCGCGTCCACTCGCTTCTGACTCGCGCGTACCCATTACGTCCTTGCAGATATTGGACACGGAAGAGTCGGGAACTTGGATCGTGCTCGATCGAATATCTAAGCGCCTGCTAGATGTCCACTCGAGGAGTTTTAGCAATCGTTTTTTTAACAGTTTGGATCGATTCTTTCTGTGATTCCGTAACGTTCAAGCGAGAGATTGAGTCAGTAAGTGACTCGTCGCTAAATTGCGGGGACGCGTACGAACCAGCCTTAAGGGTACTATCGCTGTTTCGCGATAGGAGCCCTCGAGAGTATAAGTCTCCCGGTGGACACGTAGCATTTATGGTCGATCTCGATCCTCGATCGGCGCGGCGCAATCGGTCACGAGTTCTGTCAAGGACTCGAATCGGGCTTTTTCAAAAGTACACAGAGCGTGGCGGCAGCCTGCCACTTTGTATGCTGATTTCGCGAAATTGCAGAGAACTTCCTCCGACCGGCGAGCAGCAAAGGGTTTCTCGAGGCAAGGCCGGATCGGGCTTCCCGACTCTTCTTTCTCTTTTTCCCATCGGGCAGTCGTACCTGGAGCTCGCGGAAAGTCACGAAGCGCGCAGGATTAAGAGATCGCTCGGGAGAAACGCTACCGTGCGCCGTTCGAACGTCTTGCTTTTATTTATCGAGAGATTTACTCGGTAGGAGTAACGAGGCACGCGTTGCTCGCTCGAAATTTATACGAGGAAAGAACATGCGAATCGAAGGTCCTGCGTTGCATCGCGACCACGTCCAGCCGGCTCCGGGAGTGTTTCGAGATCGCACAAGAGGTACTTACATATTAGTCGCACCCGCCACTGACAAGAACAGACACCTATACACGCGACAGTATTCCTAGACGAAATAGAAACTAGAAGGTACCGATGTGTGTGGCTTCTGCTTCGTATCAGTACCGTCACGCTCTATCACTATTCTCTCCACCCTCCCCTCTTCCACCCTATCCAAAGAACGCCGATAGAAAATTGTCAAACTTTTATTTTAGCGAAGAATTTCTTTTGGAATTGGAAATTTGCTAAAAAATGAAGGTCGATTTGTTTGTATTTTTTTGAGGCGTGAAAGTTGGAGTTTTCTATCGGCTATGCAACCCCAGAAATTCTGTAGCACCCGTCGAATAATCCCAGAAATCTCCCGTTTCCCCAGCGGAGTTGGGCATCGATCGATCCATCAGCCGACAAAATTAATCGCGATTAACGTTAGTCAATTAGCGAAATTAATCTTCCGCGGCGATCGACGATCGAGTTAATCGTTAGTCACGACGATTGACGATTGAATCGATCGTAAATCGCTCGTGACTGACGATTGCACGAGTGGTCACTCGCAGCCACCATTGATCAAACTAATACTTTTCATTCGCATCGAATCGAGTCTGAATTTTAAATTATCTGTACCTTTTGCCCAACCCTGCCTACCCTCTGCTTACGTCCAAAGACTTTTCTCGTTTTTCTCTTCATTTTTAAACACGATTGGGCTCTCGAACGCGTGTACATACAAAGATCGATCGATGTCCACGTTGCATCGGGAATCAAAATTGACGAATTTATGGAGAAAGTACGTCTCTGTCTTACCGAGGAGACCGATCGTCGCGTAATGTTTGCCCAACGTCTCGACCGATTCCGTCCGATGGACGAGTCCGTCGGTTTTCCTAGAGACCTTCCGTTCAGTCTTCCGCTTCAGAACAGCCCCCGTAGTAGATCCTGTTCTCGGAACGAGTTCGATGACGAGCGATAAAGGCCTGGTCGAACGTGCCTCGGTCTCGTGTGCACGCTGCCGCAAAACTGCCCGGATATTCGCAGCCGTAACCGACTTACCGCTGCCACGGATACGTTCACCTGCATTCCGCGCGGACTTTCGCCTTTATTGATAATTGGCTACCCTATTAATCGACCGTTGCACGCGCTCGGTCGTGCTATTGGAGTAGACAATCCGCAGCCCATTGCGAATCGAGCATTTGCTACTCCTTTCGACGACCACTACTGCCTCGCTTCTTGCATCACTACGGGTTACGGATACTTGCAACGGAGCCCTCGCGTTTCTTCCACCGATCGTTTTGTAATCGTAAACGTCGTTGGTAAAATTTCGTAGGAATTTGATCGCAAGAAGAGAGACAGTACTGTACGTCGCGTTAACTGCCACGCCAATAACGGTGACATCTTCTACGCGAGTGAAGTCGTGTTTCTGTACAATTGACAAAGTTACTCGACACGCGTTACGTCTGAATTTATTTCCTTTAATCCTCGATTGTCACGGTGGAGTCGGAGCTGATCCTAGCTCCAACTTTGAACAGGTGTATTTATTAAATGTTGCGTATAACGGAGGTCTGCCTGCCCTCTGGCGAGAGTCTGAACATCCATCTAGTTATTTAGTTGCTTAACAAACTTCGGAAAGCCTCAGTGCAGTAGCGACAGCTGACCTATGCGCGAGATTATAACTCCCTGTGTGTGTTTACCTTACCATATTTCGATCGTACAATTTTATATTTTCATTATCGCTGATTTTTACACGCCAGTGACAATCGAGAAATAATATTGTTATATCCTCGATGAGAATTCCTGTCACCGATATGTGGGTATCCCGTGGAACGCGCACGAAATCCTCGACGAATATCGTCAACGACCCTAAGCACCGAATCGCGTTTTTCGAAAGTCCATCGAACGAGTTCCGAGACATTCTCGCGGCAAGATCACACATACACACGCACATACACTACTCACACGTTCGTAAACGACGTAAAAGTATGCGAGCCAGATATGCATATATACGTATGTATACCGGTGACGAACATACGTATGTATGTATACGTTGGATATTATTAATTAGTACTTACGCACAAACGACACGCGAGTGTCCAACGATTCTAATCGTGTATATTTTTCTGACCTGTGGTGTTGTTGTTGTTGTTGTTGTTTTTGCTTTTGCCTCACTTGCACGGGGCGTGCGAATACACTACACCCGCCACCACCATCACCGAACTACCACCAACCACCACTTCACCTGTGCTATCGTCTTGTTGGGGCCCGCCTCTTCGAACGCACACCCCCGTACTGCGTGACACGCACGCGCGAATCGATCGTCAAAATCGAACCAAAAAAAAAAAAAAAAAAAAACTATACAAAAATCGCGCCCTCGGGCCCGACCTTCACCCTCCACCTCCGGTGTGTTACGTCGCGGATATACCACCGCTTCTCCACCCCTTTCGAGCGCCTCGCAGGTGGCCACTTGGTACAGGGTACGTCTTCACTATTACTAATAGCATGCATCCAAACCTCCTTATGCAACCGCCCCGTTCTTTGTGCCGATTTCTCGCCCGTTTCTTCTTTCGTTCAATTTCAGTTACGCGAACGAACGACTCGTGCATGGCGAAGCGACGTCTTTCGCGAGGAACCGCGCTTCTTTCCCCCGCGTCGCGCGGTGGTCCGGAATTTTGAAAATATAGCTTGTCAATAAAAATGTAATCGTACGGTTGATACTATCCTTGGCAGTCCCAGCGACATCTACAGCCACGATAAAAGACTGTTTTTCTACCCCCGTTGTCTTTTATCCGTCGAGCCTGATTATCATTTTCACGAGGGTTGAATTGTACGCAAGAGTGCGAGCCTGTCACTTTGATTTATCGCTAGATTCTCGTGATTTCGGACCACCGGTGATTTCGCTCGTCTCGGAGGAGCACGAAGGACGCCCCTGCGTATTGGAAAGTTAGGGGCGAACTAGGGGTAGCGTTAGAGCCGTAGGAAAGGGGACGGGACCGTTCGATTAATTTTTCCCCCCTTTTTTTTTTTTTATCGCTCGCTTCGATCGCGCAGGAGCATCGGGGTAAGTTTGGTCGAGTGACGTCGGTGGACTCGAACGTCGCGTGTTCGCCATGCTCGTTCGGGTAGTCGTGGGGTCGCGGCGGCGCCGTGGATATATCGGCCTGCTTCTTAGATCAGTTTTCGCTTTAATCGCTCGGGAACGTACCCGACGAGATAACGGATCGCGCGTCGCGGTCAGATCGGAATTTATTTCGCGAAAGAGGTGTACTCGTCGGGGGCACGGTCAGCGATCGATTCGCTAAAGAACGAGGACAGGAACGCTTTAATTAGCCAAACGGGGGGAGGGTGGGATGGATCTTCTCGAATCGATGATTCCGACCTTGCGACGCGACCGTAGACCACGAGCTAGAGTTATTTCCAGCTCGGTTTGCATGTACTTATAGCAGCTCCTGCCTTTCAGCGTTCAAGTACCATAGAAGATAAGTGCATGTATCGGTTAAGCATACGTCTGTACTTTTGCTGACCCCGTGGTTCACGTTCAAGGGTGACGCGAATACGTTTTCAAGGTCACGTTCGAGCCACGCAGCTTCCTTTCAACGAGGCGGACCGACTTGCGCCGCGTTTCTGCTACCGCGGCGCACCAGGAATGTCGTCTCGCCGAAGCTCGAACTTTGCTGCGCGATACCGCGAGACGGTGATCCTTAACACGTCGGTCAACTAATGACCCTCGTTAAACTGTCCATTTACTCCGTCAATGGTCAATGGTCAACGCCATTGTAGACTTTTGGTCAAATATTTATTTATCAACGAACCGATTCTCGGTTACACCGATCCGTAGCTTCGCTAAAAGTTTGAATTACCGACGTCGTTGTCGTTCGACTAATTCTGGAGAGGCGTGTAAGGGCGTCGGAACGATTGTCTCTCGATCGAGGCCAGACGGCGCTTGCTCGCGCGATGACTTTCGATTTCAGGCCGAGAAAACCGTGGATCGCGTGCCGCGCGACGAATCGAACGCTCGAACCAGGTGGTTTTCGATTTTCCAGCGATCGTCGACAACGCGCAACGGTTTCAGCTCGATCGAGCGGCTCGCGAGACTGGCGTTTACGCGAGATTACGCAACGCGGCTCCGGGCACCGGACCCCGTTGTGCTCTTCGGTTTCTTGCGAGGGAAAGCGCCGGTCGCGTTGCTTGTCTTCGCCGATTAAATATCAAAAGTCACCGAGCACCGCCGCGGAACGGACTCGATCGAGATCCGGTCGTTCCTTCCACCGTCACCAAATTTAACCAAATCTTATATTTTACTATTTTAAAACAAAATCGCGAAGCGAACGCAACGCGAGTTGGTTTTATTTCAACGTTCTAAAAGCGAGCACAATGCGTTCGACCGAGTTTTACGCCGCGTTGTCCGATCGAAGATTCGATTCGGTTGGAAAGCGGGTCACCGAGGCGATATTTTCGCGATCCACGCGCGGATAAGAAGCTCGGCGATAATCTCTATCGACGGTTTCCCTGAAATGGAAAGCGTGTGCCACGCCGCGATAGGCAGATAGCATCGGGAAACGAGTCTGCTCGGCGTGCACGTAAAAAAAAAAAAAAAGAAAAAAAAAGTAATCGATAGTCGCCTAAAAGGTGGCACGCCGTTTGTTTTGAATTTTATCAGCGACGAATGTACTAACGATCAAAACGTTTAATGGAACGCTGTCCCACTAATGAACGCGGACTGGATGCGGACCGATTGGTTTCACGCTGTGTCGCGTATACGCGACGCATTCGCCCGCGAAAGAGTTTGTTTCAGCCACGAGGTATGCTACCATTCGTATGGAAATCTCGCGCGTTTCTGCCCCGGACGTCTCTTAAATAAAGACCATAATCCCTCTCGAAGTTTTTCGGTCGGTCAAGGATACAGAAGTAGAAACAGGTTAATAGCAACGTTGCCTCTTACGTTTTTAATGTGGAAAGGACGTAGAATGGGGAAGAAAACTAATTATTTTCACCCCTCAAAGACGAGAGTGACGAGAATTTCTTGAAAGTAATCTTTGCTAATACGCAACCTCGCCAGATTCGCGTGTAGTTACTTCGATTTAAGTAACGTGTCTGTCGACGACTGGCCGTTTCTACTTACAGTCGGTGGGCGAGGTATTACTTGTTTCAAACACTTCCACCCGGGTGGAATCACAGTATCTGGGAATGTCGATAAAAGACAGTATCGTACTCCACGATCGAGACTTAGATATACTAGTAGAATGTCCGTGTTATGGACAGACGCGTCAGCCAAGTACTCGAACGTGCTCCGAGAATTTTCGAAAATAATTTTCTCGGAAACGAAGCGTTCTATCAGAAAATTCCACCCCACATTTTAAATGTCACTGGTGTCAGAGAACCATCGATGAAGAGCAGAGACTCCTAGATCTTCTGAGGGTTGATATACCGTGGATATTGACTCGTCGATCGAAACTGGACGTTGACGAAACATATGGACGAAGCGTTCGGGGTGGGCCATTCGCGCGCGGGGTTAATTATGCGGGAGACAAAGCCGCGATTTCCGGGTAGTCTGGTAACCCTGGTAGCGATTGAATTAGTAGTGTCGGAGGGTATCGTAACTGCGATATCGAGGCGTTATTGGCAGACCATCGATGTCGCGAAACCCTTATCGTACGCGGCACGATTCACCGACCAACTATCCAGATAGCGGTCGTACCGGAACCGACGACCGCACATTACGGGTGTACCGGTGCACCGACGTGTGTACCGCAGGTATCCAGCTCGGGGATCTCAGCTCGGATAAATTCATCGTAACGCCGCGAGATCCGCGGTTCTACCGAGCCACGAATAGATCCTCGTGGGCGTAAGATCATTGTGATCCGCGATCGTGAACCGGGATCATCCTTCATTTCCGATAGGATCGTCTTTTTCCCTCTTCTGGCCAAGAGCTCTTGGGGCCTCCGCGTCAAGTCGAGCACAAAGGACCGACCGCCTCGGTGGTCATCGATCGTAGGTGCTGAAACTGTTTACGAACTGGTCGTTCGAATTACGCGGGCCTCGAAAGCGAGAGGATCCCGCCGCCATTCCCGGAACTCCGATGCTTATTATCTAGGATACCGCGTATTTCAACCAAAAGACGTTAGTATATTTGCTTCTGGGTGCAAATAGCTGTGGAAATAATTGCTCCGTAACTTCAAAGCGATGGGAATGCCACGCATCTGTGATCGTCCATGGTGAATTCCATTTTTCGCGGACTAAGAGTTGCAATTCATTTTGAATAGTCGAGCAAACGATCTCGGGGGCATAAAGAAAAATCGCGTATAAAAATGGGCGAGGGAAGGAGAGGGTGAGCAGAGAGGGGAGTAGTCGGTGGCGTACGCGTTCTGAGCGTATCCCGATCGATTTGCAACAATGAATATAGAGGGAATCCGGCTCGGAGTGGTTTATTGAACGATTCCGCGAACGAGTTGGAAGCGCGATCGGTACGCGGCTCGCACGTGCGTGTAGTTAGATGCGTGCGTTGAAAACGATGACACGAGACGAGAGGCAGCAGTCCGGTCTCGGGGCGAAAGAGGGCCCCGGGACTCGTGGTCACGGAGATCAGAGAGAAGAGGAACGAAGAGGGACAAACGACCGCCTCGTGATTCCACTGTCAGGATCAACAAATCCTCCCGCCGTAGACGCGGAACAAATGCACGCGAGTTGTTGATCGCGTACAATCGAGCCGGGCTATTTATACCGAGGCTCGTCGACGCTCGCCTCGTCCGAGGGAGTAGATCGAATGGAGATCGATGGGCTAGCTTTTCAGAAGTGGAAGACAACTCCTCCGTGGCTGCTCCGCGCAGCTGGAGAGACGCGGGTGCTTCGATCCGTGCCCCCGGAGAACGATCGTCTCTCTCTCTCACTCTCTCTCGCGCCTCCCCGGGAACAACGGATACCGATTTTTGCGATTTATCAAGCGCGAAACGAAACACGCGTATCGCGGTTGAAAAAAGGTGGGAAGCTGAGACCCGAGGAGCGATCGACGATCGAGAGGATGCGAGGATGGCGAGCACGGCAGCCCGAAGGAAGGGAAATCCTGGTCACGAAGCCACGCGAATCTCCGCGCGGAGCTTCTCTGAAATATTCATCCCTCTGCTTGGCTATTGTTGCTCCAGATACGTCGTTCCCGCTCCGAAACGAACGCAGCCCCCGGGCGACGAAACAAACTCCTGAAACACGTCGAACGGATACTTGTTCACTGCCAATCGCTCGATTAGTGGGCTTCCGTTTGCTCCCGCGTCTCCTACAGGACATCCACCTTGTTTTCTTGGGTTCCGTAAGAAATGCAATTAAGTTTCAATCGCGTAAACAGGATTCGATGTCTGACGTAACCGATTCGGGTCGGAGTAGCGTGGTTAGAATTGGTTCCGCGAGGCCAGGGTGTATGGCGTGTTCGAAGGGAATTGGGATAGTTTTTTGGAGAAGGAAAGCAGCTCGGACCAGCGCGTAAGTT